GAGTTACAGGAATTTGAAAAGCACTCATGCATTGTTGTGCTTCCTCTGCTTCCTCAACTAATTTTTATCATCTTAAAATTCTGCTCAAGTTCATTTTTTTTTAATTGGTGTCACTTCGAAGAAGTCTACCTGTTTCGTACACGCAAAATTCAATATGCATTTAATTCTGTCACGAAATTTTCAACTCAATAACAGAACAAAGATACAACATGTTTGGTGGTTTTGTATGAAAATAGTCAAACAGCATTGTAATGTATGCTCACATGCATACATTCAGCTTCTTTGCATATTTGTAACAGATTTAACGAAAACTTCTGGGATCACCTGTGCTACCATGTTAAGGTTTGTTTTGACTCGCAAAACAAAATGTTGACATCTAACAGAACAGTTTGTTAATTAATGGTGAGTTGCCCAAACAAATGGATAAATATCCGCTATCATACGTACAATTGTACAACCTGGAGGCAACAGTTGTTGCACACCCTTGCTTGTACCACGTCACTGTATTGCAATGACGACGTCGCGTCGTCGTGCGCATCGTTTGGACCATATTCTCCTTTATGTTTTTTTCAACCACTAACACGGTGCGGTGGGTTGTGGCCTCAACGTGACGGTGCTGTAATATAATTTAATCAGATAAATTAAAGTGATTCACGAAGCCTTTGGGTCATTCTTGACACCCACGACAAAAGGTAATTGCGCCTAGCACTGACAGTCGGTGGATCGTTTCAGTGCTCCGAGCGGTAACATGCTCAATTTATGGCACTATACTCTGGCTCGTTTAACTTTAACCCGGATTGATTTGAAATGATCAATGGAAAGATGTGGAAGTCTCGTACCGTACAAGCATCATATATTATTATTAGCAACATAGGGGAAATGTCTCTAATGTTGGCCTATGGATCTAAGATTAGGCCCATTGCTAAAAATCTGCTATTTATCAATTTTATCTAGATGAACGCGTTATTGGGACGTTACTAATGGATATTTTTGGTTGCTATTGAAAATTTAGTCGATTGCTGAATTTATGTATGGGCCCAAATTAGGGACACTTAGGCCGACATTACCTGCATTTCCCCTACGTATTATTAAAAAAAAACTTGGTTCTGTTTGCAAAAGTGAATTTGGCTTATTTACATCTCAAACTTTAAGGAACCATCAATAGATCTCATATAACTCAGCTCAGCTAATTTTAAAGAGATTGTTTTTGTGGAATACAATGAATGGACTGCACTGGATATTTCGAAGCATGTTCTTTACAAACGGCGTCAATTGATCAGTATTTTAACACTTTTTAGGTCGAATGGTGTTGCATTCCTACACCTTGAAACAACATACATATCAGTGCCAACATTTCAAAGGGGCGTAAATGCATTTGTAAATAATGGCTTTAGCCGTCAATTTTTCGCGAATAAAACCTCACTCTTAAAAATTAATGATTTTTGTTGTTGGGGGGAGTTGAACCACTGCGTCCATTATTTGAAGTTTTGTGGTAAACCAACAAATGATATCAAAAGACTCAATTTGGCCACAATGCTGATTTGAAAAAGCAAACCATCATTAGGGTTGCATTAAACCCTTTGATATTTAGTTGAAGATGCTAATTTCAAATAACAGACTGTAGTGGTATTTTTTTTTTATACGATAGATGGAGTAGATGAAAGCATAGAGTTGATAGTTCCGTTAGAGTACGGCAGTGTGAAGATTGCATATAGATATTAGAATAGCGAGCTAGGACAACTTTTAATGCAGGTACAAATCGGTTTTTTCCTCTCTCTCTTTACCAAACTCCCTCTTTGATATTAACAAACAAATAAATTAATAAATATACTAGCTGACATGAATAGCATTTTATGCTATTGATAGGACCACTCCAAGAGAATTCTAAGTATGATTCAGAGGGCGTTCCGAGGAAATTCCAAGGGAACTCCAAATGAATACTTAGTGAATGCTGAAAATTAGATATATTCCTAGAGAATTTTCAGGAATTCATATGTAATCATGGTAATACTAAGAGAATTATTAACTGTTTCCAGCAACATACCAAACTGCGCTACCCGGGCTAGCGACTTCCAACGTAATTAGCGACATAGCGAGTACGGTTATGCCAGCTAGAAATATTGCTTTTACTGGCAGTCATATGCCCAATATTATCGATAAAATTATAAGGGAATACCAGAGAGAGTGAACACTGAGAACATTCAGAGAAGATTTTAAGGAAATTCTTTAGCAACTTTTGAAGATATCCTGTACCGACAAATTCAAACATAGAAATTTGTTTTTAGTGTTTCTGAATAGTCCTGTGCGCCGCCGCCGCCGACTATTTTGAGTCGGCGCGTCGCACAGTGGCACGAATATGAATAAAGACGGTCAAAAATATTTTCTACCCTTTTTGGACGTTTTAGAGACTGGGTGTCTTGGGAGAAGTTGCTCAAAATTATGTGTCGCATCTTTTGAAATAAACACCTGAATAATCTTTAAGCTAGTATTACACATCCAAATTCTAACTTTTTTCAGTTACGAGATAATGGTTCCATGTCTTGGACAAAGTTGTAGAGCAGTTGATTTTATGAACATTTGCTATAGACACCAAATTTCTACATCATAACCCTGTAGAGCTATAATAGATTTTCTTTTAAGACTACCTTAATATTGGTTTTTTGAGTTAATTAGTGCTTTTTTCAAATTTGATCAATTTATCATGTTCTAAGAAATTGTTGGCATCATTAAAATATACAACTTTGCTGAATACACCAATGCTTTTCATTGACATCTATGTGATGTACAGCCCATCAAGCGTTTTTGTGACGTCATATTCAACGGCTCGAAAAGAGGGTGGGCGGGCCCTGGCGGGGTCTAAAACTGATTGTATTTTGAAGATTACCTTATAAAATAGTACTTCTGAAAATTTCAGCGTTGGGTACTGAGGGGTACCTAGCCAAATCTCGATGCGAAAATGACAATATTATATACAGCCCATCGGACGGTTTTGTGACGCCATATTGAACGGCCCGAAAAGATGGGAGGCGGCCCCTGGCAGGGATTAAAACTGATTGAATTTCGAAGATAACATTATAAAATAGTGCTCCTGAAAAGTTCAGTGCTGGGTTTCCAGGGGTATCTACTCAAATCTCGAGTCGAAATAGTCAATGTTATATGTACCCAATCATGCGTTTTTGTGACGTCATATTCAATGGCTCGAAAATAGGGTAGGCGGGCCCTGATGTAGTCGAAAACTGATTGTATTTGGAAGATCACCTTATAAAATAGTACTCCTGAAAATTTGAGCGTTGGGTACCGAGGGGTACCTAGTCAAATTCGTTTATATATATTTATTAATACGTCAAACTTTCATCGGTGGATGAACTCGATCCAGCGGTGCACTCGTCCATTGAGTATCATAAATGCTTGTCAAAGCTTAGGGTTTCAGGTGTTCAAACTGTCCCCAGCTGATATTCCGAGAGTCACCTCACCTCACACACCGAGCGCGATCAGAATAGCCCTCATTAGAAAGTTCTCATGTTTGAAAGAAGAAGAAAAATCGAAATGGGTTTACACAATAAAATACCTGTGAGATAACACGTTATCTGAACTGCGGAATGCTAGTACAACCTATTTGCTCAATATTGAGTGCGTGACTCATACGTACATGTGATTAACGTATTAAACATGTTGTAATAAAATTCAGTATGTCATAGTAGTTGCCTAAATGCAACAAAACTTGCCGGAACATATACCTACCTTTTACAAATATAATTGATTATATTGAAGTAACGAAATTGGGTTGTTCGCAGAATGCTTAAATAAAACAGCAAAAAAAAGGTTATCTTCCATTTGATTTCACTTAATTAATTTTGGTATCAATGACAGATACGTAGTTCGACTACAATGTGCAGTCTTCATCAGTGTCATCCCCACTTATCAAAAACCTAACCCCCTTAAGTACTCATCTCCTAGATAAAAATGTCAAGATTACAGGTATAAAAATGAAACTACAACGTGTAGTTCGGAACCAACCTAACTAATAATAACCAAAGATTTATGTACGTAAAGTAAAGGAGAAAAATCTATTCTGCACATTGTAGTTGAACTACGTATATTTCATGGATACCAAATTAAGTGGAATTCAATAAATAAAAATAACCTTTTTATTTTGCTTTTATTTTTTTCTATTACGTAATCAAAACCTATCAAAATAGTTTCATTGGCACCTGAAAATAAGTTGATTCAGACGTGAACTTTTTATGAACGGATTTATCCAATACCACTCGGCTCAGAGACCTGAAGATAACTTTTCTCTATCAGATCTATCACTTACGCTGTTCCGCTGCGTAGAGGCATGTTGATGATTAGATTTGCTATCTCATCTGCAAATTGGACGAAATTAGGCGTTTCTTAATTCTACCATGCCATCTACTACTGTACATCACTATTAATTGCTTCATTTTTTACATTTCCCACGCGAACAAGGGTTGTTTGCCGTTGAAGTGGCGCAAGGCGATTGGGAGTTTTCTCAGAAATCGGTATGGTTCAGCATGTGTAACATGTGAGGTGCAGTTTTTTTATTGATTTTCTCGCTACACATACTTATACGAATATTACCAGTATTCCAGTATTTACATCAATTCGCTGTGGATAAATACCATCTATATAAAATCAGTAAATCACAAGAATGTCTATCTATAAACAGTAAAAGGTACAATTTGTTCTCTTTTATTGAAAAACAAATGAACGGGAAATATTGAAGGGAATTAGTCTGCAATGAAGTAACGTAGGAGTGTAACCAGTTCTCACTTATCTCGATGCAGGTTTATCTACATTACACTATCTTCTAATAAAATGCAAACACACAGGCGCTTGGCTGGCCTCAGAAAGAATGCGTGCGTGGTTTTGAATATAATCCGTTGTTATCTCGGGAAAATGTCGTCGAAATAAACAACACACAATTTGCTGCAGTGCTTCTGCTTCCAAATAAATAAATGTTTTTGCACATGATATAGAATTAATTCTGAAGACAAACTTTTCTGTAATATCATGGTAACTGGCATTACTAACGAGATTGGAAAAATCAGTGTATCTAGTTGTGATGTAGCAGAACGAGAAATGTCAGTTTCAGAATGAACCATAGTTATCTCAGTATCATCGACATTCAGTGACTGTCGAGTCCCGCCCAACAGCATCGAATTAGAGTGAATATCGTTTGATTTAGAACCATGATCAAGCTAAAGTCGCTTTTCCGCAGAGGTCAAGGTCCTTCGGGATCGAAGCATTCATCGCAATCGACGAACAACATTGCAACCACGAATGGCGGCGCCATCAAGGGTGCGTCATCTGTGTCGAGCTTAGATTGCGTTGGTGTTGCGGCCGCACCAAAATCCACCACCAAGCATAATCGAGTGCTGCACGGATCTAAAGACAAACTCGATCAATACGGCTCCAATAGTCATCAGCATCATTCCAAGGGTTCACGAGAAAAAGTAACCGACTTGAAGCATTTCGGTAAGGAAAAATCTGGAGTCCGTGCTATTTCAAAATCAAGCAATCAAATGCCCATCATCCAACCGCAACCTGCTCAGCATCAGTTGGAGCATTTTCAAACTGCACACCCGTCTGCGGCTTTGGTTCAGCAGCTGCATCGTGCTGGCAGTCGCAGTGAACTGGATCAACGCGATGACGATGCGTATTCCAGTGCCACCGAGGAGATTGTAATTTCGAAGGAATTGACGGCAATTAGTTTTGGTGGACCAATGGAGGTTAGTAAACTGTTTTTTTATTTTTTTATTTTAAACACTAAATGAGAAATACTGTATATTTTCGATATGGGGCGATAAATTCTTGTCCAAAAGCAAGATTGCTTCCACTCACTTCGCTATAAAAAAAAATGTTTTCCGGAATTATGAAATCATTAGATATTCTAATAATATTTTGCGCTTGTGAATGACAAGATGAGGTTGTAGATTATGTATTTAACACATAAAACCTGACAATTTTACTTTTAGAGAGCCACAATCAGCAATTTTATGATTCGTGAGTGCTTATTCTGAGTGAATGCTCACGAATCATAAAATCAATGATTGTGACTCTCTGAATGCGAAAGTGACAGGTTTTATGGGTAAAACACATACTTTACAACCTCTTCTTGTAACTTACAAGTGCAAAATATCATAACATCTAATGATTGCATAATATCGAATAACATATTTCAGTGAGTCGAAGCAACCTTGCCCAAAAGACGACTCCATTCGTGTAAAGATCAACAATGTGGACATTATTGTGATGACAAAATCAACCAAACCGAATCCTACCACTGACCATTTCATTCTAGAGTGATGCGCTGGTAGTAGTCAAAGGAACAATTATCTTGATCATATTATGAATGATGTTTAACCATATGACAGGAGATCAGGGCTGCCAAACCTTTCTAAACTGTCATATAGAAAACAAAGACGCTGTACTACGTCAAAATGGGCCTCCTTTATATCAAAATATTGACTAGGATTATCCTTATTTTAATTTTTATCAGGAATCTAACTCTTTTGTTTTGCGTTATACTGCCCATAAAAGCATAACAGTCCTATATTGATTTTTGTCAGAAATGAGTTATCCACTAGAATCGATGGTAAACTACCGACATTTTACGCTATGCACTAAAAGTTTCATAATTTGTTCAGAAAAGATCGTGCAAAAACTAGGTTTTTTCATCCCATCCATAAGAGCCAACGCACAGATGATTTTTCAACAGCGTTTTTTTTTTCGGCTTGCTCTTTTTTCAGATGGGATTGATATGCTTTTATGGGAAGTATATCGGATATCAGTCCCATATGGATTTTCGTCAATTTTAAGATAACAACGTTATCCACTAAAAATTGGCATCTACTTTCATATTACGTGATGAAACATTGGTCATGAAAAATGTATAAACCCCATCCTAAAATTCGATCGTCCAGAGGTCAAGTTACAGTTCTGCTTTTTAGATCGCCATAGAGGGTTAATTACGGCTATTAACATTGAAGACTACATGTGCACGAAGAGAAATGATTTTTAAATTCAAATGGATATATTTTTGCGCAGGTTTTGGTCATATCAGGCGTTACATGTGATAATGGCACAAAATCTTTTGTAAACAAACTTTGTAAGGTCATTTGCACGTGAACCAAAGCACGCCTGCTCAAACCAATACCACTTTCGGAAAGGTGCAAAGGGCCTTACAATGTTTGTTTACAAAAGCTTTTGTGCCGTTATCAAATGTTACGCCTGATATTTTTGGTATTGATTCAAATATATTATTCGGTTAATTCAAAGAAAAATATTTTTGAATCAACAAACCGGTTGTAGAGTCAATAATCTATTTGTTGATTCTAAAACCCATTTTGTAGATTCAAAAATATGTTTTGTTGAAATAGTGATAGGTACAATATGGTTGAATCAATAACAAAATACATTAGGCCCTGAAACAAAAATCTATTTTTCTGCGTGCACCCATAACTTTTGAACATTAAGTTGTACCCAAATACTTTGTTCAGTAGAAATGTGCGCCATATTTTTTTTCCTATAACTCTTTGAAGATCGTTTTCGAAAATTTGATACACAAAATTTAAATGAAAAAAAACTGATTATTTTAGGTGCACCCTAATTAACCCAAGAGTAGCCGCGCCAAATAAGGGCCTGTTCATAAACTACGTAGACAGTTTTTTGGGATTCTTGACCCCCCCCCCGCCCCCTGCGTAGACAATTGTCCATACAAAAAAAATTAAAATTTGTATGGGCCGTGGATAATTGTCAACCCCCCCCCCCCCCCCCTAAACTGTCTACATAGTTTATGGACAGCCCCTAATCACAAAATGAGCGGTGTTTTGGAAGCGAATAAAAAAATGGTTAACTCTAATTGCTTTGTGTTTTAATTGTATTTCAATGTCAACTCTTCGTACTTCTAGTGTTGTATAAACATTTTTAAAATATTCAAGGGAGAAAGAGAGAGAGAGAGAGAGAGAGAGAGAGAGAGAGAGAGAGAGAAACTTACCGAACACGAAAATAAATTCTGAGCGTGTGGCGAATACAATGACGGGAGCTAATTTGAATTGTCATTTGCCGGAGACAATCGAGCATGGAATTTTCTTATTGGATGAAATTGATGGAAGATTGTGAACGTGCGATAATTAAACCTAAGGAGATTTTATCCTTTTTTGTGGCTACTCATCAATACGTCACGTTGTTTTTGTTAGAATAATTTTAACGTAGTCTATTAGTATACTCACTTTCCTACAACGTTGTCTCAGACATCATTTCGATTAGAAGAGCCGTTTCCGTGCTATGAAGTTATTGAAAAATATCGAATGCACCATTCTTAAAAAATAGTCGCGATTCAGAATGGCTGAACTCCAATACAAATTAGATATATTGGCTATAGCGAATATTGATGCAAAATTTTATGGAGTTCGGAGAGGTATAATCTAAAATTTGGTTTTTGGTGCTATTTCACCTTGATTTGCTCTAGTTTTTTTGACGTAGAACTACGTCTTTGTCGACTATACTGGGGTGCAAATCAAAAAAATGTGTGGTGAAATAGTGTTAGGTTTTGAACGCTTGTAACTTTGTAATTTATAGATGAAAATAAAATCCAACTACGCCAATCGATAGGATATTACATTACGATTCTGCTGAAATAAATATTGTTTTCAATTTTCCACGAAAAATATTTGAAAAATGTAGAAATGATAATTTTTTCTCTATTTTCATGAAATAAACGATTTTTCCTAACCCAGTCGTCATAATCGAGTACCATTTGGTTGTACATCGTTCTGCTTGAATCTGAAAAGATATAAAACAGCGCTGCTGTCATGCCTCTGCTCATTACCGCTTCGGACGACGTGGCACTTGGTCCTGCATCAAGCAGGAGCAAGTCAGCGGATTGAGGTGGATCATGGCGTGACCACCTATCACAATGAGGAAATGAGGAACTTGGAAAATTTATACATGCAAAACAACCCCTCCCCTCCCCCGCCTTAAACGACAACCCGAAAAAGACATGGACTTATCACTTTATTCCGGGAAATAAATTATAAGCAAATTACAATCATAAGTAAGAGCAAAAGTTAAATTCCGTTAATTTTTTACCCGGTTACCCGCAAAACTTTCAAATTTAAGAAAAAATTTGCTTAAAAAAGGCATACATTCTATTCTGTTGGTGAACTACCAACAACTGACTGTAAAACATATCTGGTACCTCGGGTACACGTCGTTAGGCATACGGACGTTAGGCATAATGGACGTTAGGTATAATCTACCCGATGAATTCCAGAAGGATGATAATGGGAACCGTCTATTGATTGCTGACTTCGGTGACAATAATGAAAGAGCCTTATTTTTTGGAACTCATGAGAACTTGCGACGTCTTGGACAGGCAAAATATTGGGTTACAGATGGTACGTTTGCCACAGTTCCTTGTTTGTTTCGGCAACTCATCACTGTTCATGGAAGTATCGCTCCCTCCCATCAGCTAGTTTTCATTCTGATGACAACAAAAACAGAATCGTTGTATCGAAATGTATGGCAGGAAATCCTGGAAGCAGCAGGTATGTTTTTTTTTATTGAATAAAAAAACCACAGAATTCACCATTCTTCATTTCATGAGCTGTTCTTTGGCATCATATTTTATTCAACCTTAGCTGTTTTTTTGTTATTGAATGGAAAATCACAGAATTCACCATTCTTTATTTCATGAGCTGTTCTTTGAAGAAAACCTTTTCTTCTTTGACAATTGCAATATGCATGTAAGAATATATTACAACAAATGTGTAATTTTTTTATTTCTAGATGCGATTGATTTCACGAACATTGATAGTTCAAAACTATGCTGAGTTTTCATTGTCAGATTACTCAACCACTATCGCTACTAATCTTGGATCTAAGTAAATATGTAGCTACGTCACTTATGATATGATAAATAATGGATTCCAAACTATGGTTGTTTAACTTGTATAATTTTTTATTCAACGCTTAGCCTAATTTAAGCATTGTTCACCATGCTCGAAACAGGTTTCTAGAGTTGCACAGCAGCAAGGTATTTTATGCCTAACGTCCATTATGCCTAACGTATATTATGCCTAATGTCCATTATGCCTAACGTCCATTATGCCTAACGTTCGTATGCCCAACGTATTTATGCCAAATGGGATACACTCGGTACCTCTATATATGCAATTAGATTAACATCCGAAGTCCAGCCTTTTTTTACATATTGTACCAAGCAGGACCAAGTCAGCGGCAAAAGGTGGACACTTTCACAATTAGGAATGAGCCTTGGGTCCCGTTTCACTAAACCGAAACGCGGAAAAGTTATATGTGCCAAACCGGTTCATTAGTTGATGGGTCCAGGTGAGGAAGCTGCCTCCCTGGCGTCGGTAGCATTGGTGCTCAGCACGGAAAACAAATTAAGGAAAAAAAAAGTGAACCATAACCGAAACATTGAAATACTTGAAAAATTTAAGATAAAGTATAATAGTCAAAAATGCATGACATACATCAATTTTGCGTGGTTCTACGTCATACTGCGGTCGTGTATAGGACACAATCCTTTATTTTTTTTTCCTCTGTTCGGGATCTAACACCACTGTGACCAGTAATTTGAGCTATTGTAGTATATCCCGTGTCCTAAGTTTAGTGCATGTCGCATTACTCCATCACTATTGAGAAATTATGAAGCATTCGATTTTTTTTTACAGTTGTCATTCTCGTATTTATCGCAAGAATCCGACTCTAATTGAAAGGTCCCGCTATTTATACCCTTCGGAGTGTTGAAACACTCTCCAAAGGCGCGCCCCTTTGTCAGTCAAAATTGGATTCTTTAGCAACAAAATTAAGGAATAACCGCTTGGAATCGATAATGACCGCTTGGAACCCTAGTCTTAACCACTTCAAACTAGGGAACAACGAATAGAAGGTTAGGAATCACATAGATGAAGACTAACTCATTTTTTCCTTGTTTCAAGATCATCCTCGGTGGAAAAAGCCGAGTCTTGTCACTATCAACAAGGCATAAAAAGTAACAAGGACTAAGATGTGTTCCTTTGATTACTGAAAAATCCTGTTCCTCTAGTTTGAAGTAGTCAGGACTAATAATCGGTGGTAGATCTTACATCCCGTAACGTACCACGAAAAGGTGATCTACCCACGTTACGGGGCAGTTTAAAGCTGCCTATACAGTTAATATTACTTAGATAATGCGGGTAGTGGTTTTACACCACACTAAGAATCTATTTAAAAGTATCAAATTACACCTAGTAAAACATCATTTTTATCATTGTTACAGGATCTTCAAGGCAACAGAATGCAGGAATTCCAAAATCATTTGGATAAACTAAGGCAGGATAATGCTGCTTTAGAGGAAAAAGTAATCGAGATGTCAGTTTACCAGAAGGAAGTTCATGCTCTGCGTGATGAAATCATGAAGCTACAAGTAACAGACTTGCAAATCTTTGCAAGTGAGAAAAAATCATTCATTATAATTTTGATTACAGACAACCCAGGAAATGAGTAACTGTGAACTACATCGATTGCTCGATGAAAACGAAATTCTCAGGGACCGTCTCAAAAGTGTCGTGCAATCGCCTTTATCGGACTCCGAAAAGCAGCAAATCATAAGAGATTCTCAAAGGCTTCACAGCTCAGCCCCGGCATCCATAGCTTTACCAAATGTAAGTGATTTGTTTACTACATTTAAACATTCTTAATATTTCCGAATCTTTGATATTTCAGAACATGGATATGGAAGGCACTCCATGTGTTACACCAGACTGGGATAAGCAGTCATCAAGTAGTGAGATTGCTGTTGCCTGCCTGCAGGATAAAATAACACAGGTATGTTTTTGTCTTCTTGCTTGTTTGTACTACAAAATGTGGAGAACTTATTGAAATTCGTTAAAATCTATAAATATCAGTGTCTCAAGATAAGACGAATTGTCGTAATGGTTAAAAAAAGTTTCAATAATAAAAGTGCCTCATTCGTCCCCAAAGCAACATTGGACGATATTCCAAATGTATAATAAGTATGACCTACCCGAGCAAAGTCTGAGATAAAATTGAAATCTAAATTTTAAGTTGTGATTTCGCTGATAATGATTACTCAGGTTGCTGTCGTTTTGGTAGTTTTAACGGTTAAAATATCAAAACTGAGAGTGAACAAATCTTCCTGTGACATCACATTGAAAACTATTTCTGCTATCAGTGAGAACAAACTGAAAACTAAATTTGATATCCATTTTTCCTGTTGATAACAAAACAAGTATTCAATTTGATGTTATGCTAAGGCAATGAAAACAAACCCGCAACAACATACTTTTGAAGACCAAATGAAAACAAAATTAGGTATCTAAATGTGTCGATTGCGTAAACTAAAATCAAATTATGATTTCAGTTTGATGTTGATATCAAAACTTGATTTCAATTTGCTGTCATTTTGGACTTTGCTCGGGTACACAGTTAATTTGTTTTGCCGAGATTTGCACAGCCGATTGGTCGGCAATCTGCAATCTGTTTTACTGAGATCTCAGCAAAAGTGACGTTTGGTTGCTGAGTCTCTGAAAATGCTTTGCTGAATCTCAGCAAATAACTCCATGTTTGCTGAGAAATAAACTAAGTTTGTACACTCATAAAATAAATCACATAACTTTCATGTGATTCCATAATTGGAAATTGCACCACTAAATCACATGAACGTTATGTGTCCAATGAAATCTATATGATTACTCACATAGAATTTCTTATGTTATGTGATATTCAGATAAAAATCATTATTTTTGATATTGGAAAAATATTATGTGCATTCCTAATAGAAACTATGATTATGATGCATTAGATAAACTGTGCGACAAACTGGAAATGATTTTTCTTGATCACAAGAATATAACCATATTTGGCTTTCTCGAGGTCTCCTAAGTTAAAGTCTAGAATATACTTTTGCCCAAACACGTTTTTATAGTACCCTACCGTGAGATGACAATGTAACGTAAATCCATTAAATTAATTGTTAAAAAAATATATGTCACACTTGTACAGTTTGTGTATAGTTCTTGTATAGTGGTCATAATTATTATACAAATAATGCTCATGCTCATACCCTCCCGTTGGCTAGTTTTTGCACCTTGCTGTTGGTGGGCGGGCTTAATTTCATGCTAGTGGAGTGTTGGAGACGGTAGGTTTATCGTCGACGTTGCGGCTTATGCCGCGATAGAATGGCGTCATGAGCAGGCAATGGGGATTACTAAGCTTCCCCTCTCTGATAAACCACTGCATGAGAGAACCAAAGATCTAGTCTAGCAGTGATAGTATCACACTTGTTGCTCCTTTAATTGAGAGCCGCGTCGTAGTACGCTTACGTATAGGCACTGACGTTGGGTGTGATGCTGGCGGGTTTTGTCGCAAATCACTCTTATTTTATTTATTTTTACGCAGATAGATTCATTTGGGTTTGCAAGGGAATTATACTATTGAAATATTTCAGAAAGTGCCCAGCAGTGCTCCTTCTATTTGCGTGACAAGCTTTCATTGTTGTTTTCATTGAAGTATTACTCAGGAAACAATGTTAAACATCATTTTTGTACATGGTATTGTAACTAATTTTATATATGCTTCATTTTGATTTGGGATAAGTGTTTGAACTATGGCTCGGGATTTCCACTGCGGTGTGCTTCTATTGTGACATACCCATATGTATTTTTGTGCTGCCACATAGTGGAAACGTGAGAGCGTAATTGGAACATTTACCCTATACAATATACAATTTAAAATTAGCTTGGAAACTAACTTCAAAGTGAAGCATTTTAGTCACTTGAAGGTGTCATCTGGGACGAACAAAGATATAATTAATATATGTAAAAGCCAGAAGTACTTGAAACACGTTAAATTGTAGTTTAAAAGCATGGGTTATGACTGTGTAGGTAGATTAGAGATTTCAGTTATTTATTAAATAAACTTCAATTATACAATTCAGAAAGTTAATTAACATAAGAGATAGGACGCGTGGGATCCGCTTAGGGAAGCGACTAGCCTATGGAGTTGTATAATAAATCTTCCTATTTAGTGTATTTGTTAATTACAGACAATGTCAATAGCGAAAGTCATATCTTCAACCAGGCGCTTACGAACAAGTGAAGTTTTAGGAAAGATGTGTTAAATATGTTGATAGGTTTGAAATAAGAATTAGGTTTGTTGTGCTTTAGTTTTCGGTAAGGTATGATGTGTCAACAAAGCCCTTTTGAGCAAATTTTCAAACATCAAATTGATAACTTTTTCAAGGGAGCGTATCGGCTTTTGTAGGCGGTGCGTTTGGTCGTCGATTTGGCTTAACTGGTGGCTCGCCCACGCGGGCTGGCACTATCATCAGATAGGGGAAATTTTCCTCTACCTGCTGGTGGTGTTGATAAGCGTGCAACAAGCTTCGGATGCATTGTTTGCTGGAGCTGATGCTTCCCTTTGAAAAAGTAATCGAGAAATAACCATATTATCCTGTAATTGATATTACTATTTTTATATATCAATAAAATTAGTCATGACAGAGTAACAGATGGGGAAGGACAATAGACACAAGTTGACACAATAAACAAGACAAGTGGGGGTTAATACACAAGACAAAATGACAAAATAAGTGACGACAGAAGACAAGACTGGGACAAAAATCAACCTTTTAAAAAAAAACAAGAATGCGCAATAATATTATCAAAACTATTTGGATCAGCACAAAAACAACAGTGACCAAACGGGCACCATAGCCTAGGAACGTCTGTGTGTTGATTTAAAATAAAGGTTCATAGAAGCAAAATTTATGAATAAAAGGGGTCCAGTGTAGAGTTTTAGCAAGTTGCTGCCATTGTGATTACCGAAAAAAAAGGCTCATGCTCATAGTTTGTCATCCAAGTGTGTCCGCGGCATGACGATAAAACAAATTTGCAAAAATATTACTGATCTGTTCAATATGATTCAAACAAAGCTAACAATATAAACCTTGATGTTTAAAAGTGGTTTTAATTTTTCAGCACTTATATATGGTGGATGTCACATGCCGATGCATGTGGAGGGCGTATGCCTATTTTCAAACTAAATGGTTTTCTTATCATCAATTAAACTGAAACCTTTACCACAGAGCTACAAATATGTTCAATTTTGCGATTACCAAATATGTTGATGCACCTTCCGGAAAGTGAGATGTTAGATAAAATTGTTGCAAATAATAGCAATCTGATCATATTTAATAATCTGCTCTAATATGCACTGATGATTGTCGAACAAAATTACGAGTTTCTGAATCAAAATAAAATGCGTTAAATAGCCTGAAAAGATAAAATAAAATAAAAGTTCATGCAGATTTCATGTACCTAATAATATGTTAAAAAACCAATTTTAGCAGCTTTGTTTTGAAGGTTTTATATTTTTCCGCATTCGGGCACCACACGGTAGTAATGATATTTTTTTGCATCGTTGGGTACACGAATTTTCCTTCAAATGACTGAACACAGGACTCTGCGCACCGTATATTACTTCATTTCTTCATCTCGTAAGACACCAGATTTATATTCCAGATGCTCCGAAAAAAGTGGCCAGAATCTAACAGATCTCAGGCACAAAAATATAAAGAAAAGGCTTTGAAAAAACCTTCTAAATTATGTTACACACTTTATTAAAATATAAGGGGCCATGGTAAAATAATCGCCTCCCTGTATTTTGAAATCTGACTAAGCCCATGTTTCATCTTCTTGACTCGTGAGTCGTATCAGTAATTTGCAGCTTCTTTGTTTTTTTCAATTCGTTTAATTTGGTAAGACTTCCGTGTCTTTATAAAACTTAACGGAGTCGAATGTGTTCTGATGTTTCCTGATTGGTGACTTATCGTGTAAAGCATGTACTATTCTGCCACTGTTCGCACAACAGTCCCATGTATTGTGAATGATTTAAGAGAAATGACATTAACAAAGACTACGGTAGGGACGAGTGTCAGGGACTGACACTTATTCACAAAAAAATTAAGAAGATTATGTGAGCTGATTTTGATAGCCCGGTGTTTATTTGGTCTCCATAGACTAATCTTTTCGGCATAGACACTTGAACGTTTTCAAAAACGGGGGAAAAATATCAATTATTGAGCTCCTTATATTCTTCAGAAAGGTTATGAAAATTATAAAGCGTAGACATACAGCTTCAAAGTTCATCAGGACCGTCTTGAAAGCTTCGTATCTTTAAAACTCGTAGGATATTTTGTCAAAACCTGATTTAATTTGCTTCAAAAGTCATCCCTACCTTCCCTGACACTCTGGAACAACCTCCGATGTTCTGCAAAGCCACTTATAAAATCTTCTAAGCAGTAATATGTAGGAACCAACTCTAGCCCACTAGTGGAAATTAATGATAATCGAAACAGCAGCTCTTCAGTCTTGCAGTTGAAGTGCACTTGAAGTTCCTGGCATTTCGCTTTGGAAGTTCTCCAGAAAACACAAAAAGTGCACCGATCCTGATAGAAGTATACTTTTAGTCTTTTTAGTAGGATTTAAAGTTTTCAGAATCGTCCTTAAAACTCTTTAGGCCCAGCTTTGAAGTGTTGTATATTCTCAAGCAAACCCACTTGATCTGCCATGAAGTCTCCTGAACCTGTTTATAAAGTTATCCAGGCTTCTTATAAAAGTTTCTCAGGTCTACCATCTAACAACACTGAACTTATTCAAGCAAACTTTAGATCCATTTGTCAAAAACAAAACCTGCATAGCTGCAAAAAAAAAACAAACCCCAACCGTATTTACTTCGCTGGAGGCACCTCCATCATATCTCGAATTTTATGAAAATTGTTGGTATCTTAACATTAGAATTTATTA